AATGACACAGTGATATAAAAGTACGGCTCAGGGGTATGGCTCCTCTCATATTTTGCATTTGGTGGCGCACTTTCGGCGAGAGTCGGAAATCCGGAAACAGTCGACCGTTTCAGGATAGGTGGGCGTGGCTACAGCACGGGAAATATCTCAAATTTACTTGGATACGAGTAATCATTTTCAGCAAAAAAATCAATAATTGCCCATTTCAGTGGGGCACAGATCTAAAATGGGATGCGTGTGAGTGGGCATTGCACAGGCACTTTAAAAGCAATTGCATACAGATGAAAACATTTTCTCAGTCAACGCAGATAAAAGTAGAAAGCACTGCAGACAGCTTAAATGACCTTGGCGTCATATTATTGAAAGTTCATCACTACCATACTAACAGTTTATGGATGCATGAAATTTAGACCCGATTGCATAGGTAAAGTGACCCTACACAAGGCTTTTGTTCTGCTTGACATGAAACAGAAAACTATAATACATACATGTACATTGTATACTGTAAAATATTTTATTTTAGCTGGAATTAAATTTCACTGAAAAGACTTTTTCGGAGTTTTGTATGAAGTTTGTTTTCACTGATTTTTTACCTGAATGTAAAAAGGTATGTTCCCCGGATTTTAATTTTACTGAATCATCACTTCATCGAAAATAATTTCCAAGTGAAAAAAAAGTACCCACTAAGTTGTACAAAAGGTCAATTACCCCCCCCCTACCCACAGGGATTTTCATTAATGATGATTGGCAGTATAGATATTATTGGAAATGTTTTTCTCCGCATAGCCGGTATAGTTCAGTACACTGGGCTGCATACGATAACTTTGGGCAAGGTGTCCGACAGATATGGGCAAGTGCAGCGTTTAATACGGGAAACAGTCTCCCGACCTCCCCACTGTTTGACACTTAGTAAAATTGCGGGGTTATTTCGAAAGAAGAGTGCCAAATTACATGTAGACCGTTATTAAGAGACGTACAACTTGTCTTTCTAAATGTCGAAATAAATGACGTTCTCAATCGTTTACTGCGGTCGAGTTGGTTCCATTACTCTTTTGTTTGTGACTTGTTGTTAACGTGATACCCCGAATTAGTAACAGCCCTGTCCTAATGTAAACGACTGTATTATTTCTGAAGGTCGTCGCAAACATGTATATCGAAGAAGAGAAAAAGGAAAAGAAACAATAACAACAACACTTTTCGGACTCCCGGAGTCAGTAGATGATCGACATTGTCACGATCAAAACACAAAATGGCTGGAAATAATTAAATCAACATTCAATATGTCATATATCACCAACGGGAATACGCATTTAGAGACATGACCTCAAACGCAATACATCTTATGTATGAGTTACCAAAGAAATAGTCAAGAACGACAAAGAAAATTCGTGATTAAATGATTTACAACTTACTTGCGGATGATGACTGGACGCCATGTTAAATTCCGTTCCGGGTTGACTCAGCATCCGGGATATTCGACCTCCTGATATGACCCCTGACCTAATGGATTATGACGGCCGCTAGGGGCGCTATAACATATTTCTCGAAAATTACAGGGGGAGTTGCGTGACACGATTGATTACTAGTAGTTGAAATATTCGTCTCATTTGCATAAATTAAAGCGCGATAGTCGTCGCGCTACGCATGTTCGACATTTGTGTTAATAAACATTGATTTTCCCGCAAGTATGAGGTTTGACCTGGGCGCGACTTGCACTAATTACCGCCGGTGACTCCTTCGATACCTTCCAATCACATGAAAATTGTCAGTTCGTACTCGTTGATCTGCGCAACAGTCAAAGTCGCCATCTTTGTTTATATGAGCGCAGCGCGACGACTACAGCGCTACAACATTCATGAACAATGAAGAACTCGTCTTCTCAGTAAAATTGTTCCTAAATGCTTTCCAATAGTATACACGATAGTTCTAAGTTGACTGATTCTCTCGCCACGAGCTGGAAAAAAAAAGAATAATATAAAAACTGCTGTGAAAGTGTTTTTCTTCTTTTTTCTTAACATTATTGCCTAGTCGACAAGACACATTATGGCACACGTTGTACTATGCGATACTATACATTGTGTATGTCATTCAAATAAACCACAGTTTTCGTTGCAAGCACGGAACTAAATAAGGAGCTCTATAATGCAAGTAAGAAAACTGCTTTAAAAAGATTGCGGGACCCCTTTTTTTAGAGGGTCTATGGTAGAACGCGATTTAACAAGTTCTCTCAAATCGGATAATAGCGTAATGCATGACGTTAGCTTACGGAATTAACATCTTCGCTGAAAATGATAACAGCTGTGTACCAAGTAAACAACTGGGCGGACCATGCAAATTAAATTTTCTATGACGCACTGGTGCAATCCCTGGGATTGCGGAGCCGCGCTTTAAGACACTTTGAAAGTAACCACGGGCTTATTCTTTAACGTGATCGGAGCAAGTAATGAAATTCATGGAGGACGCAGAGGCACGTTGGTATTTCACTCTAGTACAGTATTGCTCAAAAATGCACATTATGTTTTCATTGACTTTTACCAGTGACAAATTACTAATTAGTATTCATTTCGATAATTTTTTGTGTGTGTGCATGCTCTTTGAAATAGAACGATTTTGAACACAATAAAATCACGCAATAGAAACAATTTTAGGGTCTGTATATTCCTGTGTAATATTTCTACGTTTCGTTGAGGATTATTTTGTACAGAAACCGCTGAAGTTATTCCAACTATTCGGAAAACGTACGTTGTTGCTTCGACGGTGGCCTACAGACGACTGACTTCGAAACGATCCATTCAGATCGTACGGTGCCATCTCGTGATAATCCCCCCTTGAAAATTATGTAGGTAGTAATAAGCCTGAAACAAATTCCAGTCAGCGTGTGCGCCAACCCACAACGTGCGGGCGAATCCCGCATAATTTGTCACTGAACAGCGCCCTCTGTTGACAAATCGGAGTTTAGTAGCCAAATGTATTAATGTCATAATAAACAGGATCGGTCATAACGCGGCATGAATTGTCAAGCACTGAAAATAGAGAGAACTACCTTTAGATCAAGACTGGAATATTTGAAACTACCAATCCAATCTCGGATGCCAATATGGCTCACATCCTGAGAAAACCACGCAACGCCGAAACGTAAATAAAATATTTTAAATTTCTGTTGCCCATGATTTTTTCCCATTTTTTGTTCAAGTTGTACATCAATTTATACACTTGTTTGGCAATCCTGGATTCAAATTCTGGATAGGGGTAACCAATAATTTATACATTTAGCTATATATTTTACATAAATTATTGTCCTCCCACACTCCCCCAACAATACTCCATTACATGTTTTCACTCGGCTCCAACCCCTGAAACGTGTTTACTTTAACACTTATATTGTATCCGCTCTGCTTGCATGTATGTTAGTAAACCCCATATTTCAGCACCAAACACCAGGTGCACATGATTAGCGTATCAAAAAGTTTAAAATAACCCTCTAACTTAATAGAGAAAACACTGCCTTCTCTGTTTACGATGCTACACTGCAAACAGCTTTCGACGTGTTATTTCTACATAATATTTCCAAACCAAGATATTTGTAAGAGTTTACCACTTCTCAATACATTCCTCATTTGTAAACCATTTTTTCTTTACATGCATTATATCCCCTTTGCGAAACACAATAATTTTAGTTTTCGCCAAGAAAATGCCTATATTGTGCAGTCTGTTTTCCATTTAAATAGTTGACGTTTGTAGGATAATGAATGAATGGATGAATGAATGAATGAATGAATGAATGAATGAATGAATGACAATGGTGACTTTATCAAGCTTGATAAGTGGTTAAAAATCTACGAGGGCGCAAGCAATTCACGCATCAACTATTCCAAGTCACAGGGTCTGTGGCTGGGCAGATGGAAAAGCCGCAGCGCTGACAAACCACTTGACATCAGTTGGAACAATGTGGCGCTGACAATTCTCGGAACCTATATTGGAAACAGCTCATCCCTTTTTGACAAAACTGGGAGGAAATGTTAAACAAAGTCAAAGCAAAACTGGAATGGTGGGAGAAATACACAAAAAAACATGACATATAGAAGGCGCACTTTGGTAATAAACCAGAGTATTGTATCAAAGCTGCTCCATAGATTTATCTGTCTATGCACCCTGTCGATATAATTGATCACATTCAAGAACGTTTTTTAAAGTTTTTTTTTAGCGCGGACGTCATTGGGTCCGTAAAGAAATTGTTCACTTACCAGTGGCTGAAGGCGGCCAAGGTCTCGTGGATCTGCAACTCGTATTTCTTTTTTCCGTCTCCAATACATACAACGACATCTATACTCCGGTTTGAACCACCCTTGCCTCACAGTCACCAGTTACATTCTCTAATTACAGATTCAAAACCTCAACTACGACAAAGACATTTTCATAACTACTCCTCCCAACAATAACCTCAACATCCCTTTGTTCTACTGTGATGTTGTAAAAGTCTGGTCATCTTTACCAACTTTGGGGAAAGATAGACCCACCATCAAGATGTGTGTAAAGAGCAACTTTTCAACAATCCTTTAATTTTACATCCAATACAGCGCACACCTCTGAAACTATTGCATTTCCAAGAAGCTGGCCTCACCAAACAATAACTGGCTCGACAGGGGCGTTAACAGTTTTTATATTCGGGGGGGGGGGGGTCGAACTTTAAAATCGCCAGACTAAGTTAATGATTATTTTATATTATACAGAAACAAATTTAATAAATTTTTCAACGGGGGGGGGGGGGGGTCCGGACCCCAAGACCCCATACATCCGCCACTGCTCGACATCAATAGCGTACTCGAGCTTGCATCCATCTATTCAAAAAAGGGTATTAAATATGAATATAAATGGGATTAAAAAAGCATTCCCCACGGAATGGAAGATACTTATTAAAAATGGCTACAACCCGAACTTAACAAATCCACTTGACACAAACCATTACATCGAAATAGTCTATAGAGACAATGAAAAAGACATACCACTAAGCTACCCTTTATACAAAACAGAAAAAAAGGGGCAGTCTATAAATTCACAACATCAATAAAAGACTGAGTGCGATACCATATGGAGTTATCTTCTTTCAATATCTCCAGAATACAAACCGAACTATCGCGATTGTTACATCTCGCCTCTACTTAAAACAGACGGCCATCTACAATGGAGGCTGCTACACGGCGCATGTTTCCTCTACAACTGTCGCATCTCGCAATCAGTCAAGTGTCCGTTCTGCAATGAAATCGGCAATATTGTGCACGTATTCCTGGAATGCCTGAGGCTGAACCCTCTACTCGCCACAGTTAGAATAAAACAAGATACAAGATCTACTAAACGAAGACATGTTACCGCTAGCCTGGCCCCACCGAGGAAAAGACACGTCAGTAATAGTCATCGTTTGCTTTGCTACCTGCTAACAACCGCCAAAGTGGCGATCCATATTACACGTTACAATAAAATAAAGGAGCTTGACTTTACTGATGCACTGCGTTGTTTCAAACTACGTGTCAGCAACAGAGTCATCAACGAATTCAAGTACCACCTACTCAGCCACTCCATCCAGTCATTCATCGAACAGTACTGCATCAACAACGCAATCGCTACAGTCAACGGACAAAATATTCAATTATCGGACAGCATTACGTGAACATTAAACATTTTCTTCGTATCGTTATTGACATTTATTGAGATTTATTTTCTATTGGGAGGGGGGGGGGGCTCAATGTTGAATGCCATCTAATGACGACTACCACACACCTGTGCGAACGTGCACCTGATCTAAATGAGCCCCTATAAGTCTCCAATAATAAAAACATAAATAATTCGCTATTATTTCACAAATACAATACAATACAACATGAAAAACTAATGTTGAACAATAATTTTAGGTTGCTACTTTTTGTTAGACACTTTCGCAAACTAGGTGTTTAAAATGAACGTTATTTGCGTGTTCAAGTATCTGGTAACTTGTATCGTTGTGGGCCATTCAACAATTGGAACGAGAAGCATGTGGACAGGTGGCATGCTGCCAAAGAAGCAACAACAATTTTGGACCGATTGCCTTTTAGATTTACTGAGAAAGACGGGAACCTTAAGATATTCCAAATAAAATTGAAGGTATGGTTGTATTGTTACTCCTTTTTGAAACGTGTGGAACATGTAATTGACAGAGCCAACATCGGCACCTGTGCACTGCATGGTCATTTGTAGCTGCCTCCAATCATTTAATTATATACGGGTTGGTACGGTACTTGATTTAACTCGCATTCATGCATTTACACGATCAGAGAGTTGCATACTGCATAAATTCAATTGCTGACATCCCCTGATCTGAATTACCAAATACAATTATTTAATAATTCAACAGGAAAATGCAGTTTTATTTATGTTACTTGTGTGTAAGTGTGTCAACATACTTTATAACAACAGTAATATTTTTTATTCAAATATCGTATTTCTCGAAGCTGATAACTAATTTTAAATAACCTACTGGATTTTGATATTATTATTTTTTTCAGACTGAAAAAAAAATAAAGGTTTGTTAAAAGCGGACTAGATGATTTTGCTAATATTGGGAATTAATCTTGTCCTTTTAATATGGAATATTGTTGGATTAATGTCTTCGACCCATGTGTCATGCACGCATTGATCAGGTGAATGTACCACACTGCGCCGTTTATTTTAAAAGTGGTGAAACAAAAAACAATCGAACTAATAGACGGATAGAAAAGTGAAAGGTGAATGAAATGAAATGAATGTAGTACAGACTTGTGGATTTAGTGAGATTGGGATTGGTATAGAATAAATTGATAGCTAATGAGCAAGTGAATTATTTTATTTGTCCCACTATGTTTTCTTTTTTTCCAGGAGTTTGATGTGCTCGAGGGAAATGCATTCGAGACAACAATACGTGTACCACAAAGCAAGAAATGGGCACGTTAATTTATATCAAAGAACAAGTTATATCGTTTGGTTTAGTTTATTATTCATCTGTTTTGAATTGTCCATGTTAAACACAAACTTATCTTATTAATGCTTAGTAATTTAGTAATAAATATTTCCTTGATTATGTGATTTTGTAATTGTATGCTATGATTATTGTGCAATCGTGCAAAGTGCTCGACCGCAAAATGCATCATTTGATATATTTTGCACATTTCATATTCATATTTCAAGTGCGGATAATGTGTATTGATGATGATTTTTATCACCAAACGTGTCGCTGATACAAGCACTTGTCATTATTTAGATTGTGAAGACATTTTTCAAAGAGTTGCGATGATGAACTTTTTCAATACGTGCTTTTGTTGTGTCTATTGAAAGCACTTTTTAAAATGTTGTGGTTATGTACACTTTTCAAGACATGATTTTCGTGGAAACAATTGTCAAAATGTGTGTTCAGTAAAATTGCTTTGAACAGTTTTAATAAACACTTGTCAAAACGTGTTTTTTAGTGGAAAACTTGTCAAAGTGTGTGCTCAATAAAATCGCTTTCAAAAGTAATGAATACTTTTCATACTTGTTTCAGGTCGAAACAATTTACACAATGTGTTGTATTGTGACAATCAAAAACTATATAGAGACTATATATAGAGATTATAAATACTTTAAGTGGGGACAAGTTTATAAACACTTCAAATGTGTTACCCGAAACCAAAAAATGTTTTATCTTAAAATAGTTGTGTTATAATATAATTAATTTGCGATTAAAAAAAAAACAGTCAATGTGTTTAATTATATTATATAAATTTTAAAATTGGACAAAAACGTGTCATATTATAAATCACTTAGATTTACAGTGTACAATAAAACGCAATGAATAATGCAGGTAATCTTTTATTAATCTACGACCAAAGAACCAATGAAATACATATATGGTGTTTAATAATATGCTTAATATTTATTCCCCGTCACACATCACTCGAACATTTTATGAACTGTATGTATTATGTTGAACTAAACTGAAGGAACTCCCGATGAATATATATTTTAAAGGTTAAAATACATCAACTATTTATAAATCAAAAACAACACCATCTAATGAATACATGCATCAATAAAATTAGTAGTCATAAACCTCTCTCTTACAATTAAAGAAATCAAAGTAGGATAGTGTTGATATGTTTACACCATCCATTAATTAATTTAATAATAGGAAACTATCATTTCCTTGGATCGTCGAAGTAATATGGGTTATTCTACTAATATTTCCAATTCAGTGAACAAGGAGTGCTTTCGTGATGTTTCTTTCCAAACACCTCCACTTCACACAGGTGTAGATAGTTGTTATGATCTTTCAGTTGTACGGCAACATAACGCCCACTTAGCTGACAATCAAATGTGATCTTCTCTTCATATGTGTTTGCGTTCCAGTCAATTTGATCTCCACATTGGACATTTTGGCTTAAATCAGAATTGTCACCAATTAACACTACAGCTCCATCAATTCTCTCAGCTGAAATAGATAAATGTACGTTATTCTGAGATTACTGAATATGACAAGGTTTATCGAACATCATAAGAAAAAAATTCAATTAGTATTATTTGTGTGTGAAATATATCTACTTACAACAACAATCCTGTCGATTTGTTATTACCACTTGAGATATAGAGTATGTTTCTTCCAAATCTACTTTCCACCAAGCGTTCGTTTTCTTTCCAGTGTGACTACAACTTTTATGACCATATATGGAATCATCATTTCCATCAATAGCATAGTTAGCTGGTCCATTATAAGCTGTGTTGATTTGGCTTGCTATTCCTTTTAGTGCAACATTTTCTAGAAAATAAAAATCATATTTGCTGTTTTACTTTTCACAAATTCAGTACAAATAATTATCAATATGAGCAATTTGCCATTCAATAGCATGTACACAAAACTATGGATAAGTAAGGGCATTTTACTAATGACACGTAATTCACGACTCATAGTGGTGAAAGTGTTTTAAATTCGAGTAATGGGGATGAGAAAAAATATAAAATATGTTTACGCGAAATACCACATGTTGTTTTCGGTTTCGTGCTAATGACCTCTTTACCCTATGTGCAACTGCATCAGCAACGAAATCTTTATACTGAATGGAGAGTAAATATGGGCATGAAGAGTAGAAAGCTGTGCCACAGAAGTGCATACTGATGCCTGATTATTGCAACTGTTGGCAGGAAGCTCCAGTCGAAGCGTGTGCCTAGAATGACACAGCAATGGAGAGCACATTGCGTGTACTTCCCGACACGCACTCCACGTAATGTGAATACACCATTCTTTGTTTTGGCGATTACTGTTGAAAAGCATACAATTTGATTCGATGAATTGCCGAATTATTATTAATAATTATTATTATAAGTCTTAAACTTGTGAATTTTACATATTTTTGGAGGGAGTGCAAAGTACCATGTAAATTATACTAGTAATATGTATGTTTTTTCAAACTTTAAAGATTCGGGTTGAAACGTGAGGTGAGTTGTAAGTATGTGACATAAATTGCACCACATATGCAAATGCGTCTCGCTACTGTACACATGTGTGATCCCTGTTATGTCACATTGCTCAAAATAGCGCAATTCGAATCTTTGACGTCACAAACAACATCCAGGTAAAGCCTAGTGTAAACATGGTCAGAACAACCTTGCTAGTCGAATATTTCCACTAAGAGCGAAGAACATCTGAATGACATTTTGTTAATAATGAAAAAAAAACAGTGATTTTTTCATAAACTTAATTCACAATATACTACCAACTTAGCAACATTCAATATTGCAAAATAATGGAGTAGCGTCCCAGCGATGAGAACACATGTAACCATGGACACTCATTTATATGCAGCACACACATTACACATAAAATAACACTGGATTTAATAAAAAATAGTTTAATTCTAATACATATATTCTGGCGAAGTCGTCAGTCTCTTGCCGTAGAAAACAGAATCAGGAAATTTATGCACAAAATCTTTATTTTGATGACAGGTTACTAATAAAAAAAAAGTACGAAGTCCAAAAACGTATTCGGCACAGACTTGCAACTATAGACACTTTTAAAGGCAAAATCTTTCGAATTATACTTGAAGAAAGTAGATTCCCGATACAAATATATAACCTACATCCAGAATATGATTTATGTGTGCTCGCTTAATAAACAAGTCTTTACTTATAATATTATAATTTGCACTCTTTCAAACCTGAGCCAGAGAATTTTGTTGATACAAATATGTTATCACGTGTACTGGTCATCCAGCGAGCGTCTTACAACATGCAGGGTGTTTGCCCTCTATATAGAAGAACATTAGGTATAGCCTTATATTGCCCAAGTACACATTTAATGCCCGAACTGGTAAATTCAACAATTAGCAAACCCAGGCGACCCAAACAATTCGAAGTTTGCTGTACATGATATCTATGACCATTACCTCTAAATGCGATAAGTGATAACAAGTATAAATTCTGACTTTCGTTCATTAAAAAATTGGTTGTTCAATGAAAGAACCTAAATCTCGTTACCGCGCATCTGATTGGCAACTGTTGCATGTTGGTGATGACTGGGATACTGATTCACGAACATAAGAATAATAGTCACATCCTCACTTCTCATCGAATTATTAACCATAAAATAAATTAAACACTGCAATACAAATTTTTGAACATTGTGAAATTTTTTTGTTTTTTGATGAAAAACCTGAAAACAACCGTATTTGCCAAGAAATAAATTAAGAATTCATAAGGAAATGTATTTCTATATGCATACCATAGTTTCAATGATTACAATGGGAAATCATGCTGTAGCCAAAGGTATCGTATTTTCATAACGTTGTATCTTATATACGTTGCACAAGAATGTTACAGATAAAAAAGATATTTTTCTGTATTATCTACATTGTATATATTTGAATTATGACTGAAAGAAGCTATGTAGTGTGTTCAACTATACGAACAATAACTACAATAATTATTATTATTTTACAGCAGAATATGTTTATTCTAGTGTTCATAAATACACTTCCACTACTTCGGTGGTTGTTACTCAAAGGATGACGACCTCTTGAGATACCTCTTCAATAACTCCGACAGAGCCTAATTGTACTTGCATGGAATGAGTCTACTGTCTACTGATTTGCAATGACACCTTCAATCATACAATTGGAACACATATGTATCTGTTGGCGAAGTATTTCTCAATAATTTTAGTTATGATGGAAGTTTTTTGGGGATGATTCACAAGGAGTAGAAAGCATATGAAAACACCTATGTGTTCATGTTTTACCACATCATCAATAGTACATCCTATGTGACATTTAGATTGCAATGGATCCTCAGATACAAACACTGGTCATTTATTGTTAAGGTGGTTGTCAAACCGGTCTATAGATAGCCATGTCCACGAGTTGTTTGCTAGTAATTTATCTTCTAATCTATGATGTTTAAATGTTTCTGACGAGTGCATTTTGCCGTCTATGATTTTTGACAATAAGAAGATTTGATTGGACTGGCAAAACTGAAGTAATTTAACCGCCTAGTTTATCAATTGTACAAGCCTGGAACTACCCTCACACAACTGCCGGGTTTCGCACAACACAAGAAAGAGTGTTTTTAACTGCAATTTACATCCCCAAGTTAATATGTACTACAATCCTACAATATATGTATCTATGATGACTGTAACACTTGCTGATTCTTTTTTGCTAACAACTGTGGCTTAATAAGCCAATTAGTCCAGCATTACTTTCTGAACTGATGTGAGATGAAGAGCAGCATAAGACACAACAAAGATGTGTTTCATTTCAATGAATCATCTCGGCATTGTAATTGGACTAGGTGATAATCAGAAATTAATCCCATTGTGGAATGCATTTTGAAAGTCTCTGGTTGTTACAGAAAAAAATCTGTTTTATTATGCATGAAATCATGCTTCTAGACTGAGTTGTCGCTTGAAAGTTGTCTTATTGAAAAGCTCGCATCTGGATTGAGTAGCAACTCGCAAAATGTCAATGTCAGAGCAACACATAGTAGTGATGTTGGTCATATTTATTGGCATAAGTAACAAGCATTTTATATGATTTTCCAGAATAAAATTGGTTTTGTGGTTTTATATTGATAATATGGAATGATCTACACAGAGAGTGGGAATGCGGCTTGGATGCAGACTGTCATATTTAGTGAATACTGTTTGGCCTTGGAACAACATTGGTGCGCCTGGAAGCCCAAGGTCAAGGTCATGGTCAAGTCAAACTTCTCATCATTTTGGTTTCCCTTTCTTTCTTACAATTCCATTTCTTTTCCTCTTCCTACTAACGAGACTTATAATAGTTATTGCTTTTTGGTTCACCTTTCATCTAGCCTGCTAGCAAGTACAGCAAGTTTGATGTAGCGCTTCTCTTTTATGTTGAATAATGGCATATGATACCTAACAATATGACCACAGTTTCCAATAAAAGATTTGCTCCATATAACCTGCAGACATTACATACTATGTAGTATATAGTCAGTTAAAGATCTCTCTATGTAACATGGGAAATCATCCAAATGCACAGTCCAATCTAACATGATGGGTACATGATAATATGGAAAATCGACATGGATGCATCAACCACATTTTTGCAGTTCCCAGTGATGATAGTTTTAGTTGGCTTTAAGAAGTCCATCTACTTTTCCACAAGCAACAACACACTGCATCTACTGCAAATGTTAATACGTCATTCCTATCAAAGACCAATACCAGGAGTCAAATCCTTCACCGTTATGGGATAGGAAAGTAAGGGCCAATAAATGTCTTGACTGTCCTGACCCCGATTTATATACAAATATGACCACAGTCACATTTCAGCCATTTGGTTCATTAAACACACATACTGAAATGTGGCTGGATCACAGGGAGCTCTATCAGAGGGGAGTATCGGCTGGTATCTAGTGTGAGAAATAGACAAGGGATGACGGCTCCAGTCAGCTCACATTTTTTAAACTCTAAAAAAAATACTAGTTTGAACAATATTATAGTTGCTCTTTCAAATTTCGCCAAAGACTTACTTTTATTTTACCGATATCACTAGAATAAATCAAGAAAACTACAAAAACCAAATATGGTTGCACGCGATTTCTCGGCACAAGCTACGCATTAACAAATGTTCAGGGGACATTAGTTGGGGGTCAAAAATCTCAATCTTTTCACCACCATTTCTTTCATAGTCTGCAATTTCCGTTAGAAGAGTGGGACAAAAATGGTAAATTTGTTTTAGTAAAACCTGAAAATGATTCATATTTTGTCTGTTGTCTTTAAAATTAGGCCTCATTGTTAGGAATATTGAAGAATTTAAATAAAAAAAATGCAGAACCTTTTTACACGGAAGTCTGGTAGTGAAAATGTTGAAGGGAACCATATGCAAAATCGGATTCGAGTCATTCGTGTACAGGATAAATAATTTCATGCAGGTTCAGCTCTGGCGATGATAAGTACTGAGCACAAAGAAACAATATAGTTTGAATGTATTAAATATATTATATGAATCAAATAGCATAAACTATTCTATTGATTCTTAACCTGTATTACGGTGTTCCTATCTCTCTATAAAATTCAGAAACTAAGCATAGATTTTGCTGTGAGTAAGCGGCAATAAAATAAGTCAGAAAATAAATTCAACGCAGTAGGACGACGCTGTTAACTTCAACCGATATCAAACGCTCAACATAGAACGCGTGATTGTCGTTCCTCAAATTATTGGGGATGTTCAACACAAAAAGCTGACGTCATTATTATCATATGACTTGTTCAACCAAGTGACAAAAATATCAAAAGTCGTTCAGCTAATTAACATTTGCTGACATAATGGTTTCACTTTTATCATAATATTTGCATAAACAAATATGACGACCTTTACAAAGCCTATATACACACGACAATCGGATATTTGCGCTGTGGCTAGATTCACATCATTATGTGGTTGGTGATTAGATTTGTTTTTCTGCGATAATTCTTTCTCGTTCCCGGGCCTTTTTTTCCCAGCACATTCTATGTCTCTTCATATATTTTCCGAATATTTCATAAATCCCTCCTTTAAAACTAATCCACGCTACCTTCGCTGTAATAAATCGTTCTTATTAAATAACAACAGTATCTTAGCACATATTTCGATCAGAAAATGAACAAACCAGCATCATACGTAAAACATCGTACAACCCTATCATGAGTGCACCATGCCAGTATCACGGTCCCCAGTATGATACAAACATCCCTCAGATGACGAAGGACGAATATTTTTATCTCTCAGCGGGAGAAAAAAAGACAACTTCAAATTTGTCGGCGAAAATCATGAACTTATTTAAGAAGCGATAATCAGTTTGAATTCGATTAGTACATTTCTGGTTCTTTTATTTTCTGATTCGGTGGGTTGATGCTTCAATTGGCGGAGTTTAGATCACTCTCGGAAAACTGCTACTGTTCAAAACTGGAATAGCGATTGCACACTACATATATAAGTGACAATGTTGAATTTGATAATGCGTTTTTAATAAATTGTTTCGTTTATTATTTTTTAAGTGTCAACAAATATGCCCGACATTATTACAATTTCCTCGAATTGTTTAGCTCTTCGTTGTGCAGGTTTTACCCCACATCTCATTGCCATTTGAGTTCAAGCTCCATAAGATTAAATTGTGTTTTGTTAAACTACTGCACACGATGCGTATATTTGAAAGAAGGCACCTTTCTCAACAGAATTTAAACTTAGCGTAGTCATAATGTTACCCTCGAATATGGGACACGAACAATAATCACAAACAATGGAACAGTGCAAATACGAACGTTCTGAATATGGTACATATTTCTTACCTGTTGCAGTTGCTTGCAATAGCAAGACAGATGTAACAGTTATCGTACACATCCACATCAGCGACATTGTCATACCCACTCAGTAGTGCACGGGTATATTGAAAAGTAATACCTGGCTAGTATTCAAGATAAACAGACGTTTCACAGTAGTATCTGTATAAGGATGTGCGTGAGCAGCAATTGCTTGTATATATATATATATCAGTGATATATATACATATAACAGACAGTGACGTGACTATTGATATTGTGATATATTACCTGGAAACGCACGCACGTGTCTACAGGCATGTTTACCTTAATTCAAAATTCATAGGTCGAGATGGGACTCGATTACTATTGTGTGCTTCCTAATTTGAGTTCCACGTACACGTTTCTATATGCTACCGAAGAAGGGCCATTGCTCGAAACGCCTAGCTATTTTGAACAGTTACTTAGAACAACTCTTACAAAATATTGCTTAAATAATTAGGATGTTATTATTAGAATACCGCCGCTGCGTCTGAGGTAAACAAAGGAAAGTGTTCGAACGTGACGCTCTATTTCGAGTGCGTCCGTATCATCTTCGAACACATTCATACGACGTTTTGCGAACTGGTATATTCTATTAGTTTGAGTGTTAAATGTAAACTAACATCATGTTTAAATTCAGGTTGCCGACGTGTGAAGTATTCTCATTTACATTTTACTTTAAATATAGCATCCACGACAGGCTGTGACAACCCACCGATGTTAAAATTGAACACGCACGCCGATGTTTTCAGCGACACGGATACAGCAATTTCAATTGAAACCATGACTGTCATCCATGTCTCTGTAAGTTGCATTTACCAAGTGAAATTACTGCATTCACACAATTTGTGTTTTCACATATTGCAATTACTATATCACAATATCAAGGATAAACGATGGTTAACTATGACATTAAGTATGGAGAATAGCAAATGATACACCTTTCCCATAGTGATCGATGGCATACATTTTACAATAATAAATCAACATACCAGGATATTCTAACAGCACGTACATTGGCGTGTGAAGGCAGTTATCAAGGAAGTTAGTTAGTTATATATGTTCATTTGCCGCAAATTACGTATTATTTGGCTCTGGATAACTATGTTACATGTTGGATACTCGCTGTAAGCAAATTAAGTTTGTTCGAGTGCAACTTAGCAGTAAGCAATATGCTTATTTTCGTTAAGAAAATAATAATTCCGCTTTTAGCACAAAGTAGGTATTTCGTGATCTAAAGACAGATGCAGATCTTCATAGACGATATACTAGAATAGAAATACTGGGTTCCGCAATAAAAACAAGTATGTCCCATCCATGAACTTCCTAGTTATTTCACAAACACGAATTAAAGTGAAGGCCATGTATAGGACATGTATATTGGGCCATTCCAGTTTATATCTGCAACCCCCTGTTGACGTGGTCGGATTTCCAGCACTGTATGATGAGGAAAATACCCCGGAATTCCAACTGTATATGGAAAAACAGAATCTGGAAATTCAGACGAGTATGGAAAAAAAATCCTGGAAATCCAGGCAGTTATGGCTACTAAAATAAAATATGGTCTAGTTTATCTCGCCACATACCGGTTGATGAGGTTGGATTTCCAACAGTATGACTAAAATAACTTGGAATTTTTACTGTATATGGTAAAAAAATTGAGCCAGTATGAAATAGTTATTACTGAAATTAGATAAGGATGGTGGCACGAATGAGCTCATCGACACCGTGAATCGGGACTAGTTTGGATTTCCATTATCAAATATAAAATTTTGAACTTGCTAAATTAGCTTATGATGAGAGTTATATTTGGAAATCCTACTCTGTATGGTGGCACAATGGAACTCATCAACACCATAAGTAGGAACTATAGTTTTGGATTTTCATTACTGTATGGTGAATGGTGATTTGGAAATACAACTTTGTATGACTTAAACACCCATGGAAATTATACCATGTATGAAGTAAACACACAAGCTCATCAAAGGGGGGGGGGTGCAGATATAAACTGGAATGGCCCATTGTACATTTAGTTTATTGCTATTTTATTATTATTATTTTTTATTTAGTATTGTGGCTAAGTAAAAATGGTAACTTTAAATTCATTTTTGCTTTATTTAGTAAAAGGTTTTATTCACAAATATTTAACAAAAATCTTGTACACTGGGACCATCATTTTACTGAACAGAAAACCAGCACTGGGGAAAATAGTGCCTAAATAAAACAACACAACGACACGCTTCCGGTAACAAGAAAAATTTAATATAACCCATATGAATAAGCGATACATAAGTCTTCAAATTACCTTGACGAAATTAATAAACGTTGTTATGTACGGCCGATAAATCGAAATTCTGTGCGAAATTCAAGTTTTATCGCTCGTCACGGAGGTACATTTTAGAGACTACGGACCGACCGTTCAATTTAGATGTGTTGTTCGACCCTGGTCATATGATAATATAAGGTTATTACGAAGATACCTCAAAATATGCACAAAGACAGTACAGCGGCAATATCGACCGACCGACGTTACAGTGACATATGTATAATAATACAATATATTGACATGAGATTAGGTATTATTTCAAACAATTTATAGAGAATAAAATCTCCCAAATCTAGTTTCCACCAAGCGTCCTGTTCCTTTGCAGTATGGCTACAACTTTTATCACCATATATGGAATCATCATTCCCATCAATAGCATAGTTAGCTGGTCCATTGTAAGCAGTGCTGCTTTGAATTGCTGTTCCTTTTAATGCAACATTTTTTAGAATATATATATATATATATAAGCATTCTATGTTCGATTGTTTGTTCCTTACTATTTTTCTTGTGAATTAAGTTATACTTTTCCATATGAGCAAGTCAAATAGCATTACCACCGAAATAACCTGTAAAGAGAGCGGTAGCGTGGGACCAGTAGAGGACCGTGAAGAGCAAAGAGATGTGGTTTGTCGCAGACGCGCATTTTCCAAGCGTTGACTGACTATTGTCATTGCTGGCATGCTTCACACTAAGTCAATGAATGTGCCCTTGGAATTGCAGTAACGGTAAGCATATAGCATGTACTAATTGTAATGTTGAATAAACTAATAGTCAATATAGTGATAACAGTAGAAAATATAAGAATTGTATTTGATTAATTACTAAATTAAATCCGATATTTTAATATAAAACCCAATGCTTCATCTCAGAAAATAGGTGCTGCATTTAGTCATGCAAGATAAGAAAAAATCTTAGCTTGTTTTTGCCCGAGTATTTTGTACAGGTATCTGTCAAAAATTAATGACCTACTGAGACAAATATGAACTGCCTTAATATATTCATTGTGTGACTACTGTTTTATTTAAAAAGTAAAAAAAAGCGCCCTCTAGGAATAACTATCATGTTGCAATCTCTGCTTTGTATGCAAATGAACTCAAATAGTTGGTTGGTGTCCAGTGGAGAGAGAAGTCAACAGTAGTGTTGCCTCCTGAGAATCTACATCTTCAAACACTGCAATCTTTTTTTTGAAATGCTCTATCATTCTGTTCTAATAGCTGAAACAAATTCCTATGAATTATATACTTCAACAAAACATATTTTGTCAAGTAGAGAATACATAATTTTGATTACAATTTTCCTTTCAAAGAATGGATGCCAATTTTGCTTTTTATGTATTTTTGCATTGTTTTTGTTTTGATAACTCTGGACTAAAGCGATTTTCTATTGTCTTCAGATCTTGATCACAAGTTTGGCACCCAATCCATAAGAGTGTTATATCATTTATCTGACATCTTATTTTCTCTGAAGATATAATTGGTAGGTTTGCAAATATTTTTGTTTTTTTGTATAACAACTCTCTCTATGAGTTGGCATTGAAACCCAGTCTAGTACTTCCATGAGACTTTGGATATACATTACCAATGATATTGTTACAAGATAAATGATTTGCTCCATTGAACACATACAACAATGCATATTACCATCGGGATCAGTGATCTTTAAATGTGTATCACCAGTGATCAATCAAGTTGAAATATTTTATCTGATTTTCTAAATTTTTGCATGATATTTTTACACAGAACATCTGTCGTTCATACTAAGGGAAGATTTTATACTGATAAATTAGGTGATCAAGTTTGAAACAAATTAGAATAGAATTAGTGCACACAATAACAATTATTAACAGCGACATCGACGACAATGATGACGACAGACATGTTTCTCTTAATATACCTTTCCCTTCCATCTTTAATGATACGGTCAAGGTAATAATATAACAATTCTGAATGTTGGTGTCAAAAATTAACAACTGGGGTTAAATGTTATTGCGTGTTTTGCATTATATACCACACGATGCACCTGTTCAATCCTTGTTAAGAAAGATTTGTCCGAATGATAAATCAACCAGAGGTAAATGGCGGCCAAACATATTCAGATGCC